TGTCTTCCGTGTGACTCAGGACCTCGGTAGGGCATGCACAGACCTGCCTGAAAAGCAAATCTTAAAAGAACACATTACTTATTTTGCTTCTACAACTACCTTAATATTCAATCTATTAAGTTATCTAAAACTTTTCCATATCAGTCTCATATACAGATTGAACATTTACAGAGTCCTGGAAGGAACATTATAACATACTTTCCTGTGTGGGGTTAATTGAGAAATTCTGGGCCAATGTTTCTCTAAGGACACTGAGATCTGCCTGGAAGAAAGTGTAGCCTAAAATTATAGAGGAGAGAGACTTTGAAGGGATTGACCAACTTGAATTACAACCAGCCCTTGGGAACAAATTGAGTTCGTAAGTGAAGGGTCCACCGTATTTTCTTTCGTGAAGTGACTATTCAAGTCTTTTGCCCTCTTCTGTCTTCTCTCTTCTGTGTGTTCCTTGTCAGATAGTATGTGTTGGAGTTTGGATCCTGAATATCCTGCAAAGGCCCGTGTATTGAAAGCTTGGTCCCTAGTCCATGGTGCTATTGGGAGGTGGTGGAGCCATTAGGAGGTAAGGCCTACTGGAAGGCAGCTACATCACTGGGGACATGCTCATGAAGGAGGGGACCCAGCCTTTTCCTGTGTCTCTGTTTCCTAGTTACCAGGAGGTGAACAGATCTCTTCTCGTATATGTCCCCACCATGTGTGCTACAGGCCCAGAGCAACAGGGCCAGTGACCATGGACTGAAACCTCTGAAGTCAGAAGCCAAAATAAACATTCCCTTCTTTTTTTTTCATTAAGTTTATTGATACATTTTAGGTATAAAATACAGTTACATTCATCACTGGGATCTTGTACCTTTACATGACATATCTTGGTTCTTATTTTTTCCCCATTCCTCTGCCATCCCTTCACCCCTTCCACCCTTCCCTATTTACAAAGACTTTGTTTCCATTTTTTTCCTTTTCTTTTCCCTTCTTTCCTTTTCCCTACCCCTCCCACTTCCCCTACTCCTTTAGACCTTTTCTTCCTATTATACAATATCACTTGTGCAATTAAAAAAATTACAATATCAAGATTTAGAGCACATGACCTCAGATTTTACAGAATTTAAAAGGATATAGAAAGCATATTACAAAAATCTTTTTTGAAATAAATTTGACAACTTCTGTGAAGTACTTTTGAAGACAAACTAATGAAACTGACTGAAAGAAATATAAAATTTGAATAACACCTATTAAAGAAAGTATATTCCTAGCTTGAAAACCTACCTATATGACAACAACAGACTTATACACATTTTAGCTGATGGATTATATCAAACATTTAAAGCAGAAAAAAGAAGGAACATGTCTCCCCTCATTTTAGGAAATGAACCTTGTGCTAATACTAAAACTGGATAAAGATAATAGAAGAGAAAAATATGAACATGAATAAAAAATTTAACAAAACAAACTATTAGAAGTCAGATCTGGCCATATGCAGTAAGCGGTTTTATTATAGGGATGGCAGTGTTGGTTCAGCATTGGAAGATCCACCCCCATAAGTCATCATTTTAACAAAGGAAAGGAAAAAGCCAAATGATCCTATCAGTAGTTGCAGGAAATGTATTGGACTAAATTCTACAGCTGTTCATGGTAAAAGCTATCAGGAGACTAGAAGTAGAACAGAACATTCTCAACAGATCAAAGGCATGTACTCCATACTTCAGCAAAAACACCTTATATGAATGGAAAAGATACAATGCTTTCTCCCTAAGGTAGGGAACAAGGGCAGCTATGCCTATTCTTCATCTGTCCATTAAACTTTGAAACATAGGCCCAAACCAAAATAGTCTGGCAATAAAATGACACAATTAGGATAGGATTGGCAAGGTAGA